GCAAACGCCGAAAAATGATATACAGCTGCTAGAGCGAGGCTTAGCCGCTCGTGCTAGCCGCGTACGCTATGCCTATGTTGAAAGAAAGAGACAGTAGACATATCTCTGTTCTCTTCTATCGCTCGAAGACGGCCGAAGCGTCGAGCGCACATGTACATGGCTGCTTGCCTGTGTGCGTATCCCTTCCACTTGCTGCAGCGTGCTGTAAGAGAGTCAAAACTGGGCACACTGGGCTCGAGTCAGCTCCTCGAGCAGGTAATTTCGGGGCACGGGTGTCTGCCCGAGTCAACACCTCGGGAAGAAGGAATTGTGATTCCGAGTCAACATCTCGGAGAGCGGGATGGGAAAGGAATGGTGGTCGGAGCCGGTTTCGCTCGCCTTATATACGCGGCGGCGGCCCGAGCTCGGTCCGGGGCGCGGCGTGCGGTGCGCGCAGGCCCGCGAGTGGGGTTTTGCGCCGGCGCGGTACGGTTTACGGTCGCGGCGCTTGCTGTCCCTAGACTTAGGGCGCGTTCCCATGATTTGGGACAAAGTGCACTCGGTGTAGCACCTTTGGTGTTGCAGCGCGGACTTATTACTACTTTTGAGGCGGAAAAGAAAAGACACTAAACTCATAGATAATGAGTGCTTTCCAACTACGTACACAAGCGACACTGTGTAACACAGTGTCCATTAGTGTGAGTGAGACACACTGATATGCTCTTTCTCACACTAATGGACACAGTGTTACACAGTGTCGCCTGTGTACGTAGTTGGAAAGCACCCAATATGTACATATATTGTGGGTAAAACCTAGTTATAATATTTATAGTGACGGGTTGCCCCGTCACAGATTTTTTGCAATGCCTGATTAACTGAACTAGCTGAGCTCTTATTATATAAACAGTTCAGATAATAAAAGCGGGCGACTCGTGCGGTAGATGGTAGGAGGAAGTAGGTGAGCTCTTATTATATGAACTATCTGGTTATGTGAACTTCCTTGTCTCCTTTCCGGTTCATATAAATAGAGTTTTACTGTGTACTGTAATACATTAATATTACGATAATATTTCTACTATATTAGAGTGTAATATTGCAATGGAAAAACAATATTACCTTGCAGTAATATTATGTGCTATGTGGATTGTTACCATTTTAAGTTGAGACTGCGTTTATAAAATGTCGTACATACTTATATGCGCCTATAATGCACTTTTCTAAACAGATTTTGAGTGCGCCTTAAGAGGATGCTGATCCAGCGGCTTAAGGCCTGTTCTACAATACAGTCGTAAGCTATAAGTCGTAAGAAATTGACCAATCACAGATAAATCACAGAAGAATAATTGATTGTGATTGGTCAATTTCTTACGACTTACGGCTTACGACTGTATTGTAGAACAGGCCTAACAGCTGCTTTGCTGCTACGCTGTCCAGTAGGTGGTGCCCTCTATACAAGGATAGACGTATATCTCTTTTCTTGTCTTTCGTTCGATTTGTCCGTCTGATAGTGGTGGGGATATGCACACGTACAGTGCGGAGCACCATATCGTGCGCCGTGAGGAGAAGTAGTTCTCCTCCG